TCTTTAGTGTCACACATGACACTATCCTTCATTAAAAACCATACTAATATGCTGATTTCGTGCTCAGGAAACTTTCATTATTATAAATGTGGGAAAAGTTGTGCTGATTAATATTTTTGTGGAAACTATGATACATTTTTTTCAGGATTCTTCGATAAATAGAAAGTTCAAAAGAACAGCATTTATTTGAAAGAAACTATTTGAAACATTATAAAAGCCTTTACTTTTATCAATTTAATGTGTCCTTGCCGAGACAAACATTTTTGAACATTTCTGAGGGATAACACAATTTTAGCTTTGAACTATTTGAACTACTAATGCCGAGTTCACACTGCACGATTTTAGCCCGATTTTTCACTCGCCGACAGGTTTTACAAAATCATCGACAAATGCCCAAAATCGGAGGCAAATCGGTGCTCATTCACGCGAGTGACAATCACGCAGTGTGAATTATCAAAGACGCGATCTGAGGGAATCGCCCGTGAAATATTTGGCATGCTAAATAACTGGAGCTGTCGGCGATTCACAATCACGCTGTGTGAAATGAGTTCTTACTGAAAAACACACTGGCGATGACCTACAGCCAATGAGAGACCAAGATACAGGGCAGCAGGAAGTTCGGGGAGGAGTTATATGACACGTAGTTTGCGGACCAGTGTTGCCAAATCCGCGATTGCCGCTGGTTGTTTTTTATTTCAGCAGGTTGAAGCGACCCCAATATCTAATATTTAGGCCCTGGAATGTGAATTGTACCAGGAGAACCCCGCCAAAAAAAAATGTATTTTACCCCCCGAATGCAATTTTTACTGGGGGACCCCCTCGAAAGCAATTGGGCTATTTTCAGGCTAGTTTTGAGTAGTAATTGGGTGGGTTTTGTAGAGAAAACCTGGCAACCCTGCACCAGACAGAGCTGTCGGCGATTCTTCCTATTGTAAAGTCATGCAGTGTGTAACCGCCTGTCTCATTCCATCGTGCAGTGTGAACACAGCAACAACTGAATGCTGCCCCAGATAGTCGTTCAGTGTGAAACCAACAGTGATGCGACGTCTTTGAAAATCTCGCAGTGTGAACTCGGCATAACTTTGAGATTCACTTACATCAACAGTTTTAACTGATTCAGAAGTGGGACATACACAAAGACATCCGTTCAATATATCAGTTCATGGGGCAAGAAGGGAATCACAAAACTAGCCTAATAAACTTAATAGCAAAAATAATAGCAAAAAAATCACAAAAAGTTTTGCAATTACCTGCTAAATAATTTCAAGTTGAATGTGAATATCCAATATATCCCCTTGTTTTAAACACTTACCTAATTACCTAATTGCCTTCAGTTTCATTTGCGGACCTGTGTCTACACAGACATACTCACATGTAGTGGAATGAGGGGGCTGTTTTGAAGCAGTACTCAGATCTCTTTGCAAGCCTTTGCCAGGCGCCTTGTGGTAAATATCCCTCCAAGTTCCCATCCTGACCGCTTTCATCCTCCAAACGATTCAGACCCATGAAGGACAACTAGAATGATCAATATGAGAAATCAATCAAGGAGAAAAATCATTTCACAGTGAATCTGAACATCATTTTCTCCTAAATACAAGATCTGGGCTGCGTTTGTCAAAAGCATTCTGAGCTAAGTTGATCGAAGAGACCACTGCTGGCAATGGTTCTATGATCTACTTAAAGGTACACTAAGCAATATTTGAAAATCACTTTTGACCACAGTGTCGGACCGAGTCCCAAAACACACTTGTAGCCAATCATCAGTAAGGGGCGTGTCTAGTAATGAAAGAGAGAAGAGAGCGCTCAATTTGAGTGCACAGGATGGATATTAGCAGATCGACTATAGATAGAGAGAGATGGCAGATATAAAAAAAGAGGAAAATATCAGAGGAACAAATGATACCTCGAATGCTTTTAGGAAATGCAGGTCTGGCCTATCTTTTCACAGTAACATACCAAATGTTCTGCAAATGCAGACGGGTCAAACGCAGAGCCTTCAGCATGTAGCTGGCTAGCCTTTTCCTTCCCCAGATCAGTGGCTAGTACCAGGAGTTGAGCATCTAGTGCTGCTTCACGAGCCTGCCTCACTGAAAGTAGACACAGGCCATAACAAACCAGCAGGAGATGATCATGAAGACATAATACATAGAAAATGAAATGTGTGTGCGCAAAGCTCTGCCAGGCCATGCATCCTACTAATTGACTGAATTGCATTAGTTCTGTAGGTAGGTACCAGAATATGTAGTGTAGAAAAATAATACCATTGGCAAATAGTTTGTTGGCCTCTTCTAAAACATCAGTGAGTTTATTGTTTGCCGGGTTCAGCATGTCCTCACGATTTTCTGTAAACAAAAAAGCATACACACAACAATATACTTACAATACTTTATAACTGAAACCGCAAACAGTATCATTGAAGCCAACTTTAACATTATTAATACTCACGCTGGACTTGATTGATCAGATCCCTGTACTTGCTCCTGATCTCTCTCCTGCGTGTTGGATCATTATCTTCCTCACTAATACCTGAGGGTCCTGCACCAATGTCATCTTCATCACCCATATCACCAGATCTCTCTGGCCTGTTCTGTCCACCCAATCCATTGGATGTTCCTGCTGACTCTTCTTGATTCCCTCTAGACCTTCTCCTCGAATCAGACATCTTCAGTGTTTCTGCTTGATTTTCTATTCAGAGAGACACATATGTCCGAATAACAGTATTACAGAAACTTAAATACCTAGATCTATAAAATCCGATTATGTTGTAACAAACATTGTTTGTGTTCAGGGTTTTAAAAAGTTATGTAGGTTTCACCCAGTATTTAAAGATAACATATAACATAACATAACATAATATAATATAATAAAGCATAAAATGCAGCATAATTGATTAAATTATCGCATAGCACAGTTTCCTGCTAATCACATGGTTAGTAAACAGTATTTTACTGGTACACAAACAGATTTTAGTGAGACTTTTTTTTTTTAAGTTTATTTTCAAAACAATTCCATCCTGTGTGCAAGCAATCCATGAAAATATAACTGTTAAGACATTGTATTTACACAAATATTTCCTGACAGTGATCATATTTGCGATCCACTGCAGCTGACCTACAAACGCGATGAGACATCGGAAAATAAAAACAGAGAATAATTAATAAACACTGATGTACACAAACTAGCTAATTAGAATGTATTTTGAAAACTTACAAACTTCAAAAACTGCAGGGTTCATATCTGTCATTTGCATCAACGATGAAATCTTCTTCTTCTAATAACGTTTCATGGCGGATGGCAAACCAACTTCTGGTGCATTTACCGCCACCAACTGGACTGGAGTGTGGAGCACTAATAAGCAACTAATATATACATATTTATATTTATCTATATTTTATATAAAAAAAAATCAATATTTAAAAAATACAAATAAAATGAAAAATAAAAAAATAAAAAAAACACACATTCCTAAATTCTCCTGACTAATCCTATTTCTTTAATGTATTTAACAATAGCACCATATATTTTACCTTGTTCTGCATGCTCTTTCAAGAGATTTGACAAATTAAATGATTCAACACCCATATTTCTTACTTCTTTAATGAGTTTTAACCTTTCTTTTTCATATTTTTTACATTTTATTAAAACGTGCTCTATTGTTTCTGCCTGATTACAAAAAATACATTGACCTGTTTCATGTTTTCCTATATTAAACAGAGAGTAATTTAATCTAGTATGCCCTATTCGGATGCGAGAAATAATTGTATCTTCTTTCCTATTCCTAAAAATACTTCTTCCATTTCCTACTTGCTGCTGAATATTATACATTTGTCTGCCCTTGCTTTCACAGTTCCATACTTCTTGCCATTTTTTGTTTATGAATTCTTAATTTTCCCTTTAACCTAATTTTTGCTATCATCATTACTGCTTCCCCATAAAGTGCTATGTGCATTAAAACCACACCAAATTATTTTATGATTTCCTAACCCAATAACCTTTTCTAAATCTTTACTTAATCTACGACAAGGATTATAATAATTCATTATTCTGATATTTTGTTTCTCTGCATATACATCTATAACCCCCACTTCATGTTCTTCAATCTCATTAATGACTCTGTATTCTAATTCATTTTTTTATAAAAGTGGCCACCCCACCTCCATTACCTGTCTTTCTATCCTTTCTTACAATATTATATCCTTGCAGAACAAAATTTAAGTTAGGTTTTAACCATGTTTCTTGTACACAAATTATGTTTGGTTTCTTATAACGATGAAATCTTCGCGGGAGTAGAAGGAAGTGTGTTTACTGGCCTCACGTCATTTCCGACGCATTCTATGACTGTAGTATCATAATTGTATTTGATATTATTTTATTTATTAGTTCTTCCCCTGGTTTATATTTTATACTATGTGTACAATATTGTTTAAGCAATAACAATTGCTATTTACGAACTACAACTTTTGTCCGATTTGTCACTCACATAATCTCACATCCTTGTGGTAGTTGTAGTTCTTATTAAGCAACTTGTCAGCAATTTACCTTAAAAACACACACAGTATGTAATCTAAGTTGTTAAACAACCCTGAAAGTGTTGTATGTTAACCAAGGATCATAATTTACCAATACATCGAAAACCATTTTAAAAACACAAAGGACATTTCTAAATGAATCTATGGCGAATTAGCCTCTCTTGTTAGCCTACAAATTGACGTCATGACTGAGCGGTTCAGATGATATATTTTAGGTTTTTCCAGAATAAAAACTCAGTTGCGAGTTTGTATTTTTCAAATAATTATAAATGTATTTAGGTAATTGTTGTGTATTTAGCTGCAAATTTAGGTCAATTGTATTTAGGTAACGTTAGAAGTTGTGTCTGGTTAGAGAACAGAGTAATGAATTAAACCCCTCCTTCCAACAGAGCAAAAAAAAACTAAAAACACCGCATAGGGCGTCTTTCAAAACTCAGTAAGCTGCCTACCTAGACAGGATTTCTGGCAGTCACAGTGGCGAGCGTTGTTGCACAATAATGCCTCAGTGGTTATTGACACACAGCCATTCGAATCCGGAAATTAACAACAAACTCGTGATGTCAGGAGGAGTGGGAGAGAAGCAGACAGCACAGGAGAAAATCACATGTATTTCCTAGGATTTATGAACTGTAGAGATATGACATTGTCATATGATGGAGTTAACGCGTGAAACGAGCACTGGACATGTTTCAGGGAGATTGTGGATGATCGCTGGTCCAAACTGAAAGTGTTTTCACGCGCATCGTGTGCTTCCTATTCCAGATCGACTTTTCAGCAAACATGACGCGACTCGCATTAGAACAAGTGACTGATTTCGGTGATTTCACGAAAGGAAAGGTTCTAAAAGAGTTTTTCAGGCAGGCATACTCCAACATCTCATCTCAAACCTGCCTGTCTGATGTGCGTCTGAGTCCAGATGGACGTCACATTCATGTCATTGTGCGTCAGCCCAAGAGTGGTCTTATGACACATGACAAATATCAGCGACCTCATCTCATGCAATGCCAGAAACACAATGATTTAGTGCTATCTGGAAATGTGCCTGTAGTGGATGTCATTTATATCCCTCAAAGCAAACCAGAAGACGGAGCCTCTGTGCTGGGAGTAATATTTGAGAATGGAAGAGTGGAATTCTGGAAATTCCTAGAGTGCAGATCAGGCTGGCATTTACTCCAGACTGTGGATCTGTGCAACAGCCCTCGTGCTAAAGTCAGTTCTGTGTGCATGTGTCAGAATGTCATTATATGGTGTGAGGAGCGACCACCATCTGAGAACTCCAATAGTGTGTGCAGCAACTTCAGGTTCTGCATCTGCAAAAAGACTATTGAAGTTAATGAGGGAGGTGTCAATTTAGGAAACGTGAAAATTGCATTGCACAATAATCCACGATACACAACCGTCAGTTCTGGGGATTTGGTCTATCTGCTCCCAGACATGAGGGAAAACTCTTCCATGGGTGTTTTGAAAGTGTTTCTTGCATGGTCTCCTGAACATGACAGCTTTAAAGTGCATAGTGCCTGTAGTTGCACACTTATGAAAAGCTCAAGCAAGGAATCTGACTTCAAGAGACTTGTTACAGACTGCATTGGCCTTCTATTCACCATAAATCCTCCTGATATCTGTGGATTCTCTCCAACTGGATGTGGAGACCTCCTGCTCCTTCTCAGCACTGGTTGGGTATGCATTATGAAGAGGGACGGCAGTCTTCACAACATATACAAACTTCCTGATAACTGCCTAAGTGCTAGTGGGTCCCAAAATAGCCTGAATATATATAACGAAATCCTGGCACTAACAATAGGCAGGACCCTCTTCTTAATCGACACCAAATGTGGTCTGGAATTAGAAAGAATAAGCCTGAAAACAGAAGGTCTTCTCTTCATAAACACTTTGGACAGTCACTCTCCACTAATGCTGTCAGAAACCGGGCTGTTTGTGGTCACGCAAAAACCGAAGCCTTCTCCAACACTTTCAGAAGACTCGAGTGCACTCTTAGTTGAGGCTGTCTTTGAGGAGGCATGCAAATACTATCAGCAAAGAAGTCTAAGTAGCACGCAGCTCACGGTGGAGAAGCTCAAAAACGGTGGAATGTTTCAAGCGCCCATATCACTGGCTGCCATCCTCAGGGATTACCTCAGCAACCAGAAGACCAAAACTGGCGAGAAACATTCTACAGGTCAAGAAAGGCTCATGAGCTCACTCGAATCGGAACTCAGGAGTCTTGTTTTGCTGGAGGACATCAAAACATCAGTGGTGAAGGCTTCGGA